CGACCGACGAAGCCGCGGTGGCGCTGACCGCTGGGCACATCCCAGCGGGCACTTCATTGCGAGTCGGCGACGTGGGCGGGCGCGGTATCATGGCAACGTCGACAACGGTAGACGCGATGATGCTGGTATCGATGCTGGTGACGATGTTGACAACGACGGCGGCGCTGCCAGTGAAGGCGCCGATGCTGATCACGCCGACGACGATGACGGCGTCCTTGCGTCGGCGATGAAGGTTTTGGAAGGAGTTCGACACGCGCGCGCGGCCGACGCGCGAGAGTGGCCCGCATGGTATTACGTGACACGGATCGTGCCCCCCCAGCACGCGCGCAAGGGCGTGCGAATGATCTCGGCATGCGTCGCGAAATGCCCGCTTGGCAGAATTCCATGAACATTTTATGAACCGATGGTTTTCCTCAGAATGCGCAAGAGCGCTCGTTTTTGAAACCCCCACGGAACCGGAGGTTTTTGCCGGATGTCGGCATGCGCGCGCGACGACGGTCGCGCGTGCACTGCGTCCAATTTTTTTGCCAAGGAATCTCGCGACAACACGCGCGCAAGGGCGTTCGGACGATTTCGACATGCGCGCTCGCGAAGCCCGTGTGGTAGCATTTGTTGAAAATGAGGAAGAACCTATCATTTTTTTGTTTTTTGTTTTTTCCCTCAGTTTTCCAAGAATTCGCAAGGGCGCGCGCGCCCAAGTTTTTTGTTGAAAGCCCGTGTTGCGCAACCCTGTGTTTTCCATGTTTTTCGGACACTCGATACTGAAATCCCTACGGAACCAATATTATCAGAAGGATTTTTCGGCATGCGCGCGAATGTACGCGCCTCGTAGTTTTTGCAGAGGATGGCGGGGAGGTGGCGATACTCGGTTGGGATGGTATGGATTCACATCTCGGATGGACGATGGTACAGAATCATACGTACATTGCAATACGACATAGGTGTGCCGATAAGTTCGGGGTGGTGGTTGTAGAGTCTATTTTTCTTTTTGATCTTTACCCATGATTTGACACATCCCACGCTCTTGCAAACATCCCACCCACCCACCCGCAACTTGGTTTGTAAAACCTCTTCAGACCGACTACGACGACACCGACGACAACGACTACGACGACACCGACGACGATGACGTCAACGACGCCGACGACGACGACGACGACGACGGCGGCGACGACGACGCCGACGTCGACGACGACGAAGACGACGACGACGCCGACGCCGACGACGACGACGAAGACGACGACGACGTCGCCAACGAAGACGACGACGAGGGAGGAGGGAGGACGACGACGGCGACAACGACGACAACGACGACAACGACGAGGGAGGAGGGAGGACGGCGACGACGCGAACGACGAAGAAGGAGGAAGGACGGCGACGCCGACGACGACAACGACGAGGGAGGAGGGAAGACGACGACGACGACAACGACGACGACGACGACGGCGACGAAATAGGAGGGACGACGACGAGACGCCGACGACGGACGACGACGACGACGAGGGAGGAGGAGGAAGGACGACCACGGCGACAACGACGACGGAAACGACCACGACGCCAAAGAGGACGACGACGACGAACACGAGGAAAGACAGAGGACGACGTAGGCGACGACGACGACGACGCGGGAGGAGGGAGGAGGAGGAGGACGACGACGACGACGACGCAAGAGCGCGCGCGCACGCTTTTGTTGAACATCCGTGTTGCGAAACCTTGTGTTTTGTAGTTTTTTTTTTGACACGCGATTTTGAATTCCTTCCGAAACCGATTGGTTTTGAAGGATTTCGGCATACGCGCGCGACGACGCGCGCGTCTGCTCTTCGTTTTACTTTTGCAGAGGATTCTCGCGACGGCACGCGCGCAAGGGCGTTCGACAGATTTCGACATGCGCGCGCGAAACCCGTTTGGTAGCATTTTGTGTAAATCTTGAAAAACCTTTTGGTTTTCTTGAGATTTCGCAAGAGCTCGCGCGTAAGCTTTTGTAGCAAATCAGTGTTGCGAAACCCTGTGGTTTGGTATGTTTTTGTTTGGAAGCTCGATTGCGAAATCCTTCCGACACCGAAAGTTTTTGAAGGATTTCGGCATGCGCGCGCGACGACGCGCGTGTGCACTTCGTCCCGTTTTTGCAAGGGATTCGCGGAAAAAAAGATATGTTAGAACAATTGATGTCCCCGCGTATTTTTTACAAGGGAACCTCAGAAGGGGGCCGATACCGGCCCCTCTGGGATAGTGTAAATTCATATATAGGGTGGACATGTGGTCAGAATCGTATATGGTTTACATATCCGAAAGGGGAAGGGATAACGCCGGGAGGGGGGGGCAGAGTGTTCTCTTTGTAGAAAGGAGAATTAAAAAAAGAGAATCTATGCAGCGACGGGGCGGCGACGGCGAGCAGGGAGCGGCCAGACTGACACCCAGGCCCAGACGACGCGCGGCGACGAGGCGGCGACGGGGTGGCGACGGCGAGCACGGAACCGCCAGACCGACACTCAGGCCCAGACGACGGGCGACGACGAGGCGGCGACGGGGCGTCGACGGCGAGCACGCAGCCGCCAGACCGACACCCAGGCGCAGACGACGGTCGGCGACGAGGCGGCGACGGGGAGTCGATGGCGAGCACGGAGCCGCCAGGCCGACACCCAGGCTCAGTTCCGTAGAACAACAGTAAAACTCCTAAGAGCATTGTTCGTTGGAATATGATACCGATGGCCCAGCACTGGTTCCTGCGAGCATGAAGGGGGGGGGCAGGTTCCAGGTTCTGGGTTTCAGAAGGTTTGCTTCTTTCGGTTTCCACGGGCCGTTTGCGAGCCCCAGGGCCATCAGAAACGGATCTGGGGTGTAACTTGCGCGAGGTTTACCCCAGGAGGGACCTCGGGACCGATCCTGAGAGGAGCCAGTGCGCAAAAACATTTGAAGCCACGAGAATATGATACCAAAGTCCTTGACCACCTTTTGGTACTCCCAGATGGTGATACGCGGGACGGGGGTCCTGCGTGAACCGTCTGCGTGAGGGGCCATCCACGATGTAGATTACGAAATGGTGGTCAGGCTTGTTTGGGTATTTTCACGCTGCGGAAGCGGACAGCAGTGACTACCATCGCACTGACCACCAAATCGTTCATTCTAATCTTGGCGCCGGTGCTGTCGAGTTCATGCGCGCCCAGGCCCTGAAGCTGGCGGCGGCGCCCGCGGCGCACCGGGCAGTTTCTTCCATAAACAGCAGCCCGCCCCCCCATCATTGGCGTTTGCGGCTTGTGCCGCCGACCCTGAAGGACGACGACGACGACGATGACAACTCTGACGTCGACGCCGACGCCGACGCCGACGCCGACGCCGACGCCGACGCCGACGCCGACGACGACGCCGACGCCGACGACGACGCCGCCGCCGTTGCCGACGACGACGACGACGACGACGACGACGACGACGACGACGACGACGACGACGACGAGAAGGAGGACGCGAAAAACATGTGGAAACTTCATGCGCATCGATGATTTCCGCGTCTTAGGGGTCCCCTTGTGGGTCCAAGTGGAGCCCTCTTTCGAATTTTTTGAGGCCGTCTTGAGGGTATCTTGGTCCGTCTTGGAATGATCCTGGGCTGTTTCAGGGCCCTCTTGGAGAAGGCCGCGGCCACGGGGATCTATTCTTTCACCCCCTCGTTTTTCGCCCTGCCAGTCTTTCGCTGGCCCGCTGAGAAAAACGGCCGCCTCGCCCACGGCGAAGTGGAGGCGGGACCCCCCACGATCCGCCGCGTGACATGAAGTCGGGCATGCCCCTCTACGGGAGGAGTACTCAAGAATAGTTGAAAGAATAGTCTGGGGCGCGATCTTCCGTGCTCTCTCGGGACAATTTTGAGTACCTTTTCTGAGTATTTTTCAATCTTCCTCCCGAGGCCCGCCTGCAGGAGGCCGAGCCCGACCGAAGCGTGGCACCGCGGCTGGCCCCGCGACACCGCGGCGACACGGTGCGCGCCTTGCCGGCTGCCGCCCCCAGCCGTTGCCGCGAGGAGGGGGCGGACCTCCGCGCTCCGCGCGCCGCCCGCGCACGGGCGCGAGAGCGGGCGCTTGGCGCCCGCGCCCCCCGACCTTGGCACCGCTCGGACGTGTGCATTTTTCTCTCGGCGAGGACCATCGAGGAGCATCCTTGATCATTTGGCGAAAAACCACGCACGCAACCGAAAAAAGCACAGGGAATGGACGTCCGAGCGATGGCAAGCGACGCGCAGCGGCCCGCGCAGGCCCCGCGCGCAGGGCCGTCGTGGCTCCGCGCGTGCTGCCCGCTCCTCGTCGTCGCCCGCAGGCGCTCCGCAGGCCGGGCGGCGTCTCGCGAGGGGCCCCGCTGAAGTTCGGGAGGGGGAAGAGCACGCACAGGCACGGTGCACCGGCGACCTCCCAGGGAAGGATGGGCAAAAATGTGCGAGGTGGGGGGGGGGAAGACGAGATTCCAGAACATGTGGAGAAGTATGGGGCAACCTGGGATGTGTGTGTGTGTGTGTGTATGTGTATATTTAGTTGTGTGTGTGTGTGTGTGCCCCTGGGCCCCCTTCACTCGTGGCCGCCCACGAGCGGGCATGCGGGGCAGGGCCCCGGAGCCGAAGCGCCCGCGGGTGCCCAGGCCACCCGCCCGCCCCCACTCCGCGGAGGCGGGCACGGGCGGGCGGAGAGGCGGGAGCGGCGGGGCCTCCAGCGCGTGCGCACCGCGCTCTCCCGCAGCAGGGCCACGAGGTGCGGCGGACGGCGAGGACGACGGGAGAGCCCGACCTGCAGCAGCTTCTGATCACGGGCGGCGAGCGGCAGAAGACGAGCTCCTTCGCCGTCGCGGACGCCTGTCCTAGGACGGCTGGGAAAGGCGATGCCGCTGCGGTGGAACCTCAGGGTAGGACCTCACCAGCCGCCCTGGGACACATGCGCCCCCGGTGACAGCACAGCTTCTTTTGCACCGCTCGTCGCAGGGGCAGTTCTGGGCCCCCCCCCCGTCTCCCGCCCTGCTCGGCCAAGGCTGGCCTGCGGCGCTGCTTCGCCGATCTCCTCGAGGACCCGGCGGGCTCGCCCGCCCGAGAGCGGCGCCGCACGGCCCGCGCGCCCTCGGAGGGCCCCTCGCGCCCTCGCGCCCACGGGGCGGCCGCAGGGGGCGGCGCGCAGGCTCTGCCCTCCAGCTGCTGGAGCCCGCCGCCAGGGGGCCTGCGGGGCCAGGTGGCGCGCAGGCCTTCGCGCGGCGCTCGGTGTTTTTCCGCCTGCCTGCCCTCTTTCTCGCTCTTTGCATGCTGGCCAATGCGCTTTTCCGTGCTCCCGTCTGGCTCTTTTGCGGGTGCGGCCAAGTCTGCCTCGCCGGCGACGGACAAGTCGCAGCGTGCTCCTGCTTGAGCGTCTTCCTGGAGGGCCGCGCGGCCCGAGCAGCACCAGGCTGCTGCGGGGGTCCCCTGGCCACTGGCCCGCGCAAACCGTGAGCGCGTCCAGTTCGGAGGGGGCGAGCTCGTCAAACAGTGCAGCTGCGGTGTCACCCGCGTGGGGAGGGAACCAGCGCGAGTGACCGTTTTGGGACACCACATGACAGAGTCGGATCTACGCGTGCACCTCGTGCTGCAAGGGTCGCGCGAAGCGTCGCGACGCAGAACCTTTGTCCACGTCCACTCGGGCCGAGCGGTGCGACGCAAAAGCCTCGACAGAACCCGCTCGAGCCGAACAAGGGCCCCCCCCTCACCCCATCCTCCCCCCCTGCTCTGCGGGCCTGGCCAGGGAGCTGTCGCGTCGGACGAGCAAGGGGGGGGGGGCGGGCGGGTTACCGAGACAGCTCGCGCGCCTGACTTTCCCAGCGCCCCCCCGCCGCCACAGGCGCGTCACCGGTGTCGGGCGGGGGCGCCCGGTGGCGGGGCCGAGCCCACCCGCACGCAGCAGGTGTCGCACTCCTTCTTGAGCCCCGCTTTGGCTTTAGTCGGGCCTGTCCCGCTTACAGGTGCAGGAGGAGTATGCAAACATAGCCAGAACATAGTTTTGGGCTGTTTTTTTTTGTGGGGGGGGGGGCGGGGGGGGGGATAGTTTTTTTTTTTTTTGTTTTTTTTTTTTTTTTGTTTTTGTTGTTTTATTTTTTGGTCATTTATGTACACACGCATACATGGATCTTTATAGTAAAATGTTATATATATATATATATATATATATATGTTCCAAACACAAAAAACATATTTTATAGGTTTAAACAACCACATACGAGAATTTTAAAGTATTTTTTTGGTAACTATTTTTAATGTTTCGTTTCAAATCGGCCTGTGGGGGGCCAGGCCAGACTTAAGCTTGGCCGCGCGGGCGGCGGCGTGCACGGACGCCGCGCCCCGGGCGGCCCTCCGCGGGGAGGACGCGCGCAGCGCCGAGGGCCGCAGCCCGCGGAGTCCCAGGGGGCAATCCCGCGCTTCCGCGAGAGGGGCCGAGCCCCCGCCGCGGGCGAGGACGAGGCTCAAGTCGAGCCTGTCCTTCTACAGGGGGAAGGTTCCAAAGTAGCCAAATAATAGTCAGGGGACGTTTTGTTGTTGTTGTTTTTTTTTTTTTTTTTTTTTTTTTTTTTTTTTTTTTTTTTTTTTTTTTTTTTTTTTTTTTTTTTTTTTTTTTTTTTTTTTTTATATATATTATATATATATATATATAAAAAAAACAATTTACTTATTTATTTATATTTTTATGTATGCTTGTATGTATGTATGTATGTATGTATGCATGTGTGCATGCATGTATGTATGTATGTATGTGTATATGTATGTATGTATGTATTTGTATGTATGTATGTATGTATGTATGTATGTATGTATTTATGTATGTATGTATGTATGTATGTATGCATTTATGTATGGATGTATGGATGTATGGATGTATGGATGTATGGATGTATGGATGTATGGATGTATGGATGTATATGTATGGATGTATATGTATGTATGTATGTATGTATGTATGTATGTATGTATGTATGTATGTATGTATGTATGTATGTATGTATGTATGTATGTACGTATGTGTATATATATATATATATAGAAACAATCTTTGCCCATCTGGGAGGTCTTTTTTTTTTCTTCGAACATTCCCATGTAGGGGGACACGCCCGAATCAAGACGAGGCGGAGGGGCCGGGGGGGAGCGCTTGTCCCCGTCGAGCCGCTCCCACGTTGGACGTCAGCAGGCAGGGGCAGAAGCGCTCAGCGCACTGCAGCTGCAGCCGGCACGGGGGTTGAACAGCCGCCCTCGTCTTGGACGGGTGCCCTTGTCTTCTTCGTGCTCGGGCTTTCCACCTTGTAATTCTGTCCGGTCGGGGTATCTCCACGGGGCAGTGGACATGCTGCGAGGGGGCCATGCCCATGTTATTGACCCAGGTGCTGTTGACCTTGCTTCGACCATCAGAGTCGGCTCTAGGCACGGGCGGGAAAAGTTGCGACGATCCTGGTGGATTGTGCAGCTAAGATATGTCATGCGCGAGCTGGATGTCAGCAGGCAAATGCAAAAGCGTGCAA